GAGCCTGCGCGTGCGGAGCCTGTGCTCCGCAACGGGAGAGGCCACAGCGGTGAGAGGCCCGCGTACCGCAAAAAAAAAAAAAAAAAAAAAGGCAAGTAAAATTCAAGAAGCTGCTCAATGCACAGATGGGTGAGTGAGCTGTGAGCTGATGTAGGGGCCGCAGGTACTCCAGGTCCAAGCTGGGGGGTGAGCGGCACTGGGAACAGGTGACCTTTAACTCTGGGAAGTAGATGACCTCACCAGGGGCAGAGTGTGTTTAGAAAGGAGGTCCTGGGGCACCCCAACATTTGGAGATTGGGCGAAGGTCGAGGGCCCATCAAGGGAGGCTGAGAAGGCCCGCTGTGTGCTTGTCCGTAGCCAAGACAAGCAGGTGTTCGGTGGGGTGAGGGGCGCCTGTTAGGGCGTGGCCACGTCAGTCGAGGCTGGTAGCCGGTAGCGTGGAGGTGACGGTGTTGAGGCCCAAGGGACGGGTGAGGGGGCTGGCGGGTCAGGCTGTGGCAGCGGTACCAGGAAGCCAAGCCCTGCCTTCCCTGGGAGGAACCTTGCAATTTTCAAAGATTTCTCTTCTGTCTCTCACAATAGGCTTGGAGAGGCAACCGTTGTGATGCCCATTTGCCATATGTGGAAACTGAGGCTGGGGGGTTGGGCTAGAGAACGCCCCGGGGCCCTGCACAGTGAGCCACAGAGTTGGGGTGGTGGGTGGAGGCCAGGGCCAAGGGCAGGGGCTGGGGCTGGACCGGTCACCCATGGCGCCACTATGGCTAGAACTCGATGGGTTGGAGCCGGGTGGGTCCTGAGGCCAGAGGTCTCCCGAGACCCCATCCCTCTGCTCTAGGCAGCAACTCTCCGCAGCAGAAATGCTGCCCGGCCTGACCCGTGCTTGTCGGGGCCTGGACACCCCAGGTCAGCAGTGCTCCCACAGAGGCACAGGGAGGAGGAATCCTAAAATACAGCGACGGCGCCAGGCCTTGCTGAGGGCTCTGCAAGCGTGTCTCAGCAACGATCATCATCCCCACTCGTGGACGGCTTTGTGAACAGAGATGGGAGGCAAGACACGACTTGCGGGTGGCACACACGCCAGGTCCTTCTCACACCGGGTCCCCCTCTGCCTCTCAAGTGATCCTAGCCCTCTGTGCCTCAGTTTCCTCATCTGTAAAAGGGGAACAATGCTGACACCTACCGGGTAAGGTCTTCAGGAGGACTAGATAGAGACCATGTGTACTTTGCGCGTCCCAGTGCTTGGCACAGAGCAGTTTGTTCAAGAGGTGGTACCCACTGTCACTGTTATCTGTTATCGTCATCTCTACTGCTATATAAATTCACTCTCTCTCCATCTAAATTCATTAATTTAAAGACTAGTGTTGGGAATTGCCTGGCGGCCCAGTGGTTAGGACTTGGCGCTTTCACAGCCAAGGCCCGGGTTTGATCCCTGGTCAGGGAACTAGGATCCCACAAGCGCCGCCAAAAAAAAGAAAAAAAAGGACGAAATTCATTAATTTACTTTGTTCCTGTGCTCCTCCATATATATATGTTTTTTATCTTTTGGCCGCGCTGCACAGCATGTGGGATCTTAGTTCTCCAACCAGGATTGAACCTGCACTCCCTGCATTGGAAGCGTGGAGTCTTAACCCCTGGACCGCCAAGGAAGTCCCTCCTCCATATTTTTAGGGTTTACCCCAGTGCGTATGAGGGTGCCCATTCTTGCCTCCAGGTCGAAACAGAAGAAAGGAACAAGACCAGGACCCCCTTTCCCACCCCGGCTCATCAGCGAATCTGCCCCGTATTCTGGGGTCTCCCAGGCTGGGGGCTGTGACTCCTGTATGGGTTACTGAGCGCTCCCTCCGTACCAGGGACGCCAGCTGGGGTTGTCAGCCAGTGGCCTGGCAGGAGGCTGTGAGCACAGCTTCCCCCTCCTGCCCGGCTCCTGCTCTGTGCCAGCTTATCAGACCTTCTGAGACCTCCTCAGGCTGGCTGGGCACCCGTGGGTCATGGATCCCAGCCAGGCGGGGTGGACTGGGAGAACAGGGCTGCCGGCAGATCCGGCGCCCTGAGCTGCGTACACTGCCTCAGGCCTCCCCCGAGACAGCCCGGTGGGCCCTGGGCGGTGGCCCCTCCAGTCTCCAAGCCCCAGGACCCCAGCACTCGCTGCGCCTTGGTTACGGGGTGAATAATTCAGGCCATCGAGTGTCGGTCATGAAATATTAAACGGGCCGTTCCTGACCCAACAGCTTGTGAAAGTGGGAGGGGGGCAGTGCTGGCACCGGGGCGTGGAGGCCGGTGGCCGAGAGCCAGCGCGTTCCTGAGGTGCTGCGTGTGGGCGCGACCCTGTCTGCCGCTGTGCACTGTGCTCGGCTCACCACTACGCCTCCGACACGGGTGGGGTAGTGGCAGGCAGCCGGGCACCGTCCCAGACTCGGTGTCAGCCCCGAAGTGGCAGCTCTGTGCCTGAGGAGGGGCTGTTTCCACATCAGGAGGACGGAGAGAGCTGGGGCTGCGTGCCTGGTGGGCGCTGCAAGCCGCCTGGGGTCAGGGGTCAGGGGTCAGGCAAGTGGACAGGGATGGGGTTTTAGGGACAGGGAGAGGTCAGACGGGAGGGTCCGAGGGGTGTGTGAGAGCGAGGGGTCGAGTCGTGGGTGGCTGACAAGAGGGTGGGTGAGGGGGCAGACGGAGGAGGAGTGGGTGGCCTGGTGCCCACGTTACCGTACACGCGGCTGGCACTTAGATGAGGGAGGGAGGGCGTGGGTGGTGGGGGTGGAGCGTGTGATCGAGGCCGTGAGCAAATAGATGGGAGAGGCGGGTGGGTGGGAGGATATGAAGTCGGACGAAGAACTGCGCTCCCTGGGGCCCAGAGGGCTGATCCAGCCCAGAGGGACTCAGCTCCGACTCCCTACCCCGCACCCTCTGTGTCCCAGACCCTCTGCGAGCTCCTCTGCCTGGGCCTAGATGGTGGCTCCACCTAGTGTCTGAATCTGGTAACTGCACCCTGGCATCCACACCCATTGGGAAGTCAGAAAAACTGAGGCTGAGCCAGTGGCAGGGACAGCATCCCTGTTTCCCAGCAGCACTCTACTTAATGGGACTGATTCCCCAGTTAGGACCCTTCTGTGGGAGCTGGGGAGCAGGGGTGGGGGGCAGTGACAGCTGCAAGCTAGGCCCGAGGGAAGGCTGAGGGAGTGAAGACATGGAATGGCCCTTCCCCCAATCCCTCTCCTCGCTCCCTTCGTTCCTGCCTGCTGTGCGTCCGGGCCTGCATCACACAGACAGATTGTGCTCCAGTGCCACTTACCAGCTGTGTGACCTTTGGCAAGTCACAGCCCCTGAGCCTCAATTGCCCCACTGCAAAATGGGGATGACAGTAGGACCTAAGTTAGGACATGCGGTGAGGACCTGCGTGCTAGTGTCATAGCGCAGGGGAGGTGCTCAGTGGACGGCGGCGCCTGTCGTGTTGCCAGGCTGATGACAACCACAACCAGAATATTCCACTGAATTTTAATTTCAGATAAACAATGAATAATGGTTTAGTGTATGCACATCCCATGCCACATTGGGGGTAGACTTACACTAGAAAATTATTTGATGTTTATCTGAAATTCAGATCGTAACTGGGCATCCTGTGTTTTATCTGGTGACACAACCACTCTGCCTTCTGGGAATTCAGTCTTCTGGGGGCGGCAGAGGCCAAAATAAGTTATGATCGAGCATGACAGGTGGCCCACCGAGTGAGCCCAGGGCAGAGTATGAGGCACAGAGGTGGGAAAGGCCTGTTCTGGAGAAATCAGGGCAGGCCTCATGAAGGAGGGATCTGTACCGAGTCTTCAAGAGAGACGGGAAGGGCATTCCAGACAGAGGGGGGACATGATCAAAGGCACAGAGGTCCGACAGCAGGTGTGAGGACTCACACTGACTGTGGGTCAGTGTGGCTGAAAAGGTAGGGGGAGGCCAGGTCATCGCATCCCTGTAGACCTTGGTAAAAAGGTGGGCTATTTACTGAGGGCAGAGACTAGCTCAGTCAGATGTGCGTTGCAGAAAGAAGGCTGCTGGGGGGAGGTGGGGAGCAAGCCAGAGGGCCCCCCCACACACCCAGGGAGGCTGGCACAAGACTGAGTCCAGAGGGAGTTGGGCAGCCGGGCCCAGCCACTAGGTTTTTCTCCAACCCACCCTCCCAGCCCTCCAGAGCTCCCCGGAAGTGGGTGAGGGGTGAAGAAAGCTTTGGAGGGGGACGGGCACTGAGAGCCCACGGTGGGTGCTGGGTCTTCCGCAGGGGAGTGAATGCCCAAACCAAGAACGGTGCCACGCCCCTGTACCTGGCGTGCCAGGAGGGCCACCTGGAGGTGACGCAGTACCTGGTGCAGGAGTGCGGCGCGGACCCGCACCTGAGCGCCCACGACGGCATGACCCCGCTGCACGCCGCGGCGCAGATGGGCCACAGCCCGGTCATCGTGTGGCTGGTGAGCTCGGGGACAGGTCGGGGTTGGGGCCCGGGAGAGGCGGGGCCTGTACGGGAGGGGGCGGGGCCAAGAGGGGCCTGGCGCCCAGCCCCCGCCCCTCTGTGCTCCGTCCCCTCCCCCCCCCCCGGTGAGCTGCCCCCCCCCCCCCCCCCAGGTGAGCTGCACCGACGTAAGCCTGTCGGAGCAGGACAAGGACGGCGCCACGGCCATGCATTTCGCGGCGAGCCGCGGTCACGCCAAAGTGCTCAGCTGGCTCCTGCTGCACGGCGGCGAGATCTCGGCCGACCTGTGGGGCGGGACCCCGCTGCATGACGCCGCCGAGAACGGAGAGCTGGAGGTGAGGGCGGGCCGGGGGCGTGGCCGGGAGGCCGGGCGAGCGCCGGAGGGGCGGCCGCCCTCTGCTGGCGCCGCGCTCTCAGCACAGCGCTGCCCAGGCGCCGGGGTCCCGGCTGTCGGCTGGGGGGGTCCTCACTGCGCGCCCCTGCAGTGCTGCCAGATCCTGGTAGTGAACGGCGCGGAGTTGGACGTCCGCGACCGCGACGGGTACACAGCCGCCGACCTCGCGGACTACAACGGCCACAGCCACTGCACCCGCTACCTGCGCACCGTGGAGAACCTGGTACGCACCGGGCGCTGCTCCCCCGCGTTACTGCATTCCGCCCACAGCTTGCCCCCACCTCCCCGCAGGGGTAAGTGTTGTTACCCTTTTTACCACGGAGGAAGCTGAGGTTCAGGGAAGTAAAGCCCCTTGCCCGGGGTCGCAGGAGTAAGTGCCCTAGACCACTACCCCACGTGACCTCTCAGGCCAGATCCACTGACCATTGGGGAGTGAGGGTGTGCGGGCAGAAATATCGAGGGAAGGAGGACCAGCCTCGTCCTGATGAGAACCAAGGCTCGGAGAAACAACGACACTTACACACCAGTGGGAACAGTAAAGTGCATTCACCTGCCCACAGGTATTAACTAGCTCATTTAACTCTCACCACCACACTCTGAGGTAAGGAGTGCTCGTATCCCCATTTCACAGGTAAGTAAACTGAGTCTTGGGGAGACGCAATCACCCAATCATTAAGTGGTGGAGCCCTGGTGTCCGGGCCTGGAGCTACCTCTCTTCACCACTACTCTGATGTTTGCTCGCTGCGCGGCTGCTTCATAATTGAAAACCTGTGTTAGTCTTTTCAAGTTATTTTATTATGGTCACAAAGCCATGAAGGAACCCACTGGGACTTGAGCGGAGATGTGGGTGGCTCTGGCTCCTCTGGTGCAACGTCTGCTTTGGCGCAGGAGGGAGGAAAGAGGGCTGGCTTCACAGGCGTCTTCAGAAGGGGGGCAGCCTGGCCACGAGAGGGGCTGCGGAATGAGGCTGGAGGAGAGAAGGCCGATGACCCCCTGCCCAGAGCACTGTCTGCCCTGTCGTCGAGCAGCCCTGGTTCTGGGGACTCCAGAGCACAGCAAGGCCCAGGGGTCAGAGATGGCATCTGGTCCCAAGGAAGAACTACCCCCCCCCAGAAAGGGCCATCCGGAGAGAGTAGTGGTCCACAGAGCCCCAGCGCCCTCTGGCTCCCCCTGATGGAGGCGTTAGCTGCAGGCAATGAGCAAACAAGCCCCATTCCTTGAATTCTGACCCCGGTAAGGTACCCTACCCTGCCTAGTGCTTTACGATGTAATCTCAGTTCATCTTCACAGTGAATTGATACTAACGGTCGTCACATGTGGCATTTACTGGCTACCATGCCTTGGCACTTCACTAACTTTTAAAATCTTGGTTATAACATAATGGGGCAGGCAGTACTGTTATACCCGTTTACAGACGAAGAAACTCAGGTACAGACAGAAAGGACAGGTGATGGAAAGGTCATGCAGCTAGTAAGTGGAGGAGATGAAATTTGAAGCCATCCCCCCGGGCTGCAAGGCCTGTGCCCCCAACCTCTGTCAGGGCTGGGCAAGTGCCCACCTCAGCCAGCCAAGGGAAGAGCATGTTCAGGCTGCCCCCACCAGGCCCAGCTCCTATGGCTCCCCTTGTCTCAGGGGTGAGGCAGCAGGGCCTGGCCCCCCCCGAACTGGGTGGAGTGTGGAGGACCTGGCCCCCTCACAAGGCGGGCCCAGCTGCGGCAGTGACGGATTCAAGCCATGGAGGATGCTGGCCCAGAAAAGGCAAAGGCTCCCGCAGAGCCCCTAATTATTGGGCCAATGAGCATGGCCGCTTACCAGCCGTTACCTGGTGCCAGGCCTGCCTCCCGTTCCCGGGGGACCTGTGACACTTCTCAGGCAGGGAGGAGCCGGCCTGGGCGGGAGGCAGCAAGCAAGCGAGCAGCAGCCTTGCCGGCAGCAGGGCCAGCAATGGGCAACGTAAGCATGGCCCCCACCCCAGCCCGCTCGCAGGAGGGAGGGTCAGGCCTGTGGGCAGGGGAGAGGCAGTGGTGGGGGATGGCCGAGCTCAGGTTGCCCCCCCCCCCCACCTCCGCCGGGCCAC